TTTGTGAAGTTAGGAAGTTGGGATTTTCTATGGGTTTTATTTTTGGCCAATCAATCCGACATACCAAATTTCATAAGGATCGGCCGACTATATCTTATAGCTGCCATATAACTGAACGATTAGAAATGTCATAACTTTGGTGTTTTTAAAGTTAGGAAGTTGGGACTTTTTATGAGTATTAAGAATGCATCATATGAATAATTTTGGAGAATATAATTTATAGAATATTCTGCAAGGGTATATCAACTTCGGCTCCGCCCGAAGTTAGCTTTCCTTTCTTGTTATTACTTGATTTGCAATTAAAAATCCCATAGTCATAAAACAATTATTTATTGTATTGCAATGATAAATAGTTCAGAATAAAACATTTTTTTCTGTTTCATCTGTAAATAATTAAGCAAATTTTTAATTATAAATCACAATTCAATAATGTGTTTACCCCGCTGAACGCACCCAATAATGGAGGCGATAAGAAAAATATATATTTCTTTCTGTCAGCGAGCAAAATATTTTGTTCTCGCATTGGGGCCATCGACTTTATTTAGTTTCGAAAGTATTTGCATTAGTTTAATCTAGCCGAGTAGCGGGCGAAAGCTCAGCGAAGGGAAAATTATGACGGACTGATTGGCTGAGTGGCAGAAGAAAGGATGTCGCTGATGAAAGTTGGACGGACGGAGCCTTCAATTTGTCTGAGCTGCTGCTGCTTATCTGGAGTATAAAACCAAGTGATCCAGCAACCGGGGAGCCATCCTTCATCCAATGTCTCTGCCACAACCCGGAGATGATGAAGTCGACGACGACTGGGTCGTCATGCGATGGCCACCGCGTTGCATTCAACTCCTTTCGAGCGGCAGCAGATACACACACTCAGATGCGGATAGCCTCCAGCAGATACAGATACTCGCAAAGGCCACATGTGCATCGCGCTGCCATTGCCATATGGTGTGGCATCCATGGAGACCTTTCGGAGTGGCGTCATGTACCACGATTTTCCGGGGCGGTGGAAAGGCGGGCGATTTCCCCGGGGTCGTGGCAGCGCGAAAGCCCGCACATGCGCACAGTGGGCCGCCGACAGTGGGCACATGGGTGGTTGGAATGTGGACGTGCTGCCGGTCGAGTGGGGCAACCGAAACTGGTTTTGGGGCCAGGCCACACGCAGTGCCTGATAAAGGCTGAATTTGCAATTCACTAAAAAAGGCTGTTTGGCAATATGCCAAATTACCTCTTTGAGAGTCAGAGAACCTGCTATTTCTTTCAAATGCGTTCAGCAAATGCACAGTGAGCTGTGGGAAAATGACAAAGATAAGATAGCACCGTAAAAAAAGTCCAAGCCATATAAATTTTAAATTTTCCTTGGGATAAACAAGATAGCCTCTAAACTTTCAAATTTTATTAAAAATTCTTTGAATTTGGAGACAGATTTTATAAGCACAATTTCCCAACATTTCCCTTGTGTATAAATATTTTAAAATCAAATTAAATATATAACGCTTTCCATAGATAGAAATATATATTATTAACTTGCGTGTTCAAATCACAGTTGTTCATAACCAATTAGAAAATGTAAGTAGCTGATAATTTAAAAAAATTAAAAAAACGTGCACACAAGTATTCATTTTAGTTTGGTGAAATTTTTCTCTCTGTGTGTATCTATGTGATAACTACAAGTCCGCATTTTAGATATAATTCGTAGATTGTCTTTATTAACATGAGGTCCATAAATATAAACTTGTATAAGTTGAATTAAATAATCAATGCGAATAAAAATGGCTACCAGCATGTGTAGTTTCAGCTTCTGTAGAGCCCACTTAACTTAAGAACATTAGTTCAACGAGTATTTAAGCCGGCGACATTTTAATTAATTAAGAAACTAATGTTTGGTGCTGCGTGCAAGAAAGTCACTCGTTTTTCCAGTAATAATGCGAATAAAATATTTAAACTTACTGCCGGAACCCGTTCCTTCCCTCCGCCGATAGGGAATTATTTAACCAAAGTGGAGCCGCTTACCGTAAATTGCAATTTATGCCCAGCGGCAGGCCAAGTTGCATCAGCTAACCAGTTTGACGGCTTGGAAGAGGCCCGAAACGGAGGCTCCATTTCGAATCGAATCGAATCGAATCGAATGAAGTAATCACAATTGATAATTGTTGGATCATATCGTCGCATCGGCATCTGCTATTTTTGGGTTCGTTGATCCATTCGAATGGCCGCCATGCGCCGCCGCCATCAAGTGTCCGGGATTCGCATTTGGTTTCCATAACTTTTACGACTCTGGACACTCCCATCCACTCGCGAGATGGTCAACTGGGGAACTATTACAATGCATCGCATCGCAAGACGGCGCGGAATCAATTGTCATAACAGACAGTCTCGGCAGCTGAGCGGCAGATTGCTTTACGAGGGCAAATATTTGTGCTGCCTGTCGGCATGTGTCCGTTCCAATCGCATCTACACGCACCACAGAGCCACATGCCCAACCCGTTCGATGCAGTTCGTTCGACGGCAAAAGATAGAGAACGCTGGAAATTGCAATTTATATGGCTGCCATAAACAGGGGCTGCAGCACTTTCACTTTTTCCACTTTTCCCGGAACATTAGGAACGCTTCATTTTTTGACCAGCAAATGTGTCTCTGTTTTTTGTTTTTTTTTTGTAATTGCATTCAGAGCGTAGCACTCGCAGGTCCCAGGAGGTACCTTTGAACCCGGGTCGTAAAACCCCTTCCCGATGTCGCGACTTCGACCGCTGGGCTCAGCCGGAGATCGCCTCCGACGGTCCATTTCCGCAGCAGGCGGCAGGATATTAGGAGTTCCTAGATTTTTCACATTTTCATAAGGATAAATAGAAAACATTCAATTATTATTTTTATATATTTTTGTTTACGTTCTTTTTGGCTTAAGCAACCAAGTTTAAAGGAATTAGATTAAAATTGATTTGTTTGTCTACCAAAAAATGGGAAATATTTTTGTAACTTATGCATATTAAAAGTGATTCAAAGACAAAAATATTTATAGCTACTGCTCTAATTAACCTTGCTGTTAAACTAAAGGAAGACTGGAGAAAAATATTTAATTATTTTCAAAGATTTTTTTAAACTCTTTTTTTTTTAAAGAATACAATTTAAAGAGCACAAAAATATCAGAAGACAAATTAATGTTGTCTGTTTTTCGAAAAATATAGTACATTTATTTGGCATTTTTTAATTTATGAAAACTCAAAATGCTTCAACGAAGAACATATTTATAGCCACTGCTCTCATTAACCTTGCTGTTGAGTTAAAGTTTTGATTGTCTAAATGGTTGTTCCATGTCATTCGTAAGTTTATATCTATCAGGTACATGACCTGCTTGAAACTGATGTTTCTTCGTGTTCAGGTTTTGCCCTAGCATTTCAAATGACACCTCCCTTTAAAAGTTTTCCACTTTCTACAGAGCTTCTGCTCGCTGAAGATTTGTTCCATCGTGACCCTTGTTACGATAACAACGAGGCCACATAAATATATCGAAACACGAGTGAATTAAACAAATCAACACGCCGAGGGCGGGGAAATATATACTAAGAAACATTTTTCTTTTCCCATTTGCCGCTTGCAGCTAATCTTCGGAAAACGAAAAATATTAATGAGCCAAAGTTTCTCTTTTATGGAATTTCGATACTGACAGACAGTGGCAGTGCGGGGAAAACTGGAGGAAAACTAGAGGAAAACTCCATCACTTCGGCCTGGACATGTTTGTCATTTGCAAGTTGCGCGGCCAATTACTTTGAGAACCCGGAGGCAGCCACTCTCCGGAAAATGGCTACGTCTCCGGCGGCTCATTATGAAAATGAAAGCAGGGAGCCATGTACTCCGCCAGAATTTATGCACACGAGCATATTCCGCTGGGGAATTCGAGGTCGGTCGATTGCCGTCTGTTTGTCTATCAAACAAGGAAACTAAAAAGTTTTCGCAAAAAGGACACAGACTGGCAGGGGCACGGGTATCAAGAGAAAAAAAGCTGATGAGAACGGGGGCAGATGGCTGATGGCAAAAACAAACAAATACCATGGACACTCGACGCGACGGACTCCGGTGGGCGTAAAATGGCGACCAGGGGAGGGGGCGTGGCAAGGGGCACACGACCTATATGAGCATAAAAGCGAACACATATATGAAGATGAAGATGAAGCATCGATGTCGGCATAATCGAATGAGCGGAGGGTAATGGGGCGCAAGGAAGACGCGCAACTGGACCCCATGGAATATATGAATGCATCCAGAGCATCTCCATATAAACGTCCCTTCGTGCGTGGATGTCCAATCCCCGGGAACGAACTATATATTTATTGTACTCCTGCTTTCCGCAAACACGAAAGCGCACTCTGGTCGGAGGAAAGGGGGGCTAATGGGTTGGGGTTCGGTGGGCGGCGGTGGGTCGAAATGAATTGAAATAAAATGATAAGCGTGAAATAATAATGAGGAGCGTGTTCCGGCATAAATCGGTTTGTCCTTTCTCGGCAACTGGCGAATGGGTTGGATATTTTGGGTCCTGGCCTGCCATTTGCGCTGAGTAATCCATGTAATCGGCTGTGAAAAGTGTTTTACATGCGAGTCCGCTGGCATAAGCCGGGAAATGGGGCGTAGTCGATCGGAAAATTCACACATGGGCAGGGAATTTTAAGTCCTTTAAGTAACCCTTGCCTTCAACTCCTTGAGAGTAATTTTTAAAACTACCTAAATTTGAAATTGGTCAGATAAAATACTTTAGTTGTACTTACATATGTACTTTAGACATTTTTTAATAATACTTTTTTAAAACTTGCAGAATAAAAATGATTGCCTTGTCTTTGTTTAGAAATATCTTATCAATAATTTGTCATTTGAAAGAGCTGAATAATAACTGTAATTTTACATACTATTAAAATAAAATTTATTTTACCTTAGCAACATTACATTTTTGGCAAGGGAACCTTCATTTTTAATTTAATAAAACTTATTATTTTCTTTTCTTTATATCATTCCAGTTTGATTACACATCGACCCCTGGAGCGAGGACTTAACCCGGCGGCAGCTGCTTCAGGTGAGTCTCCATCTCAATATTTTTCATACATTTATATGCATGCCAAATAAAAGTTATAATAATGGGAATGCGCATAAAACTCCATCTGCCGACCGTGGCACTATCCAATTGAATTGGGTCGCAGGTGCAACTCAACGGTGAACGGAGGCAGTTTAAATTCGCCTGCCGGCTTCGATTTTTATTTGCCAACATGAGTTTTGCTAAATTACGTTTCCAAAAAAAGGCAGACTGCGTGTGTGTGCGGCATATGAAATAGTTGGGACCCAAAGTTGTACCTTTTGCCATTTATTTTTCACATCCGCATACAGAGGCCTCCTTGTTCGATATGAAAAAGGCAAAAGTTGATCAAATAAATGGCGAAATTTCCATATTCCGGCGATAAGAGCGGAAACGTGTAGCTCAAAGATTTCCATCAAGTCGAATCGGAATCGCAATGGGAAAAAGCGGGCGAGTAACAAGTTGTGCGAATCTCTGAAAGGGGGTGGTGGGAGGTCCTTGGGCGGCAGTCCTGAATTTGTTCCGTTGTTTGGCTGCGCTGGCAGGTACAACTACAACCCCCATCGCTTAGCTAAGTAAATGGGTTGGCCGACGAACGTGACTTGGCCTGAACCCATCCACATCTCTACTCCCGTCCTCTGTCTTCGGTTATTTAGAGCACATGTCTCCTCCAGCTCGAGATATTAGCAATGGCTGCACAATGGAAAGGCAAGGGTAAAAAGCAATCACATCTTTCAATTCATCAGGGAATTTGGAGTATTGAAATTCGAATATAAATATAGTTGATTGCGTTTTCCTTATTTCGACAAGCTGATAGCTAAAATGAAACGTAAAAACGTGCATTTGAAACTGCTTTAAATTAAATGAGCCCCTCTTTTTTATAAGACATCTTTTTATTTATTTTCTGCAAAATTAGTTGTAAGAGATATGACCTTCATATTTCATAAATATAATTTATTTTACTATACGCGCTTTTAACAAATAAAGAAAATTAACTATTTAGACCCGAAAAAAACTGTCTAAAAAACATTTCAAATTAATGATGTTTATAATTAGTGAATTAATTTATTTTTGTTTTTACAGAAATATTTAATTCATGTCTTTTAACTACAACCTTTTGATTCCACTGTGCCATCGCCTTGATTTTTCGGCGAAGCCAGCTAAAGCCAGTCACGATTCCAAACTAATGAGGAATACACGTAATTACATGTGGTTACGCAATATCAGAAGTTCGGCTTTAGGTCGAGCTCAGCTCGTGGAATTGTCGTATATATGTATATAGTTCCCTTCTAGGAATCAATGCCCTGAGACAAACCCAGAAATTTAATAAACACGCAAGTGCACGGAAGTAAATTATCCCGTCAGTCAATTATGTATGTTGCTACGCCCCAAAGTTGCTCCACTTTCTCACTTAAGACCTGACTTGGACTTGGTCTGGTTGTTGGGGACTAGGGATTGGGGATTGGGGCTGATGTCTTGAGACGCCACATAAATACCTCGTTTACTTTCCCCCAATTTTGCCTGTGTGCGAAGTCCCTGTTCCTGCTTCATTAAACGCCTGCCACACTCGCTTCAATTGGTTGCTTTATTTGTGGCTGCAATTTGCCAGCCTTTTGTGCTTTTTAATTAAATGTTTTCTTCCGCATTTCGGCCCTACCTGCGTAGTCATCGAAGCCATTGCCAAACCTAATTAAATGGTCCCCAGATCGTTTCGAAGGAGTGAACTTAGCCGGCATATTGTTTACTTGAGCGCAAATGAAAATAATAAAACTTTAGTTGAAGCAGGTGGAAGTAGATAAGGCAGCAATTGGACTTGAAAAGTTATAGCAGAAGTAAAATAAAACTTAAAACGAAGCCCGCAAATTCCATTGAAACCAGAGAAAATGAATTGTCATTAGGTTGATAGTTTAGTTTAAATTAAATATAAAAGACGGTATTGTAGTAAACGAAATTAAAGTGTTTTCATTATCTGTTTTAAATAAATTTGGTAATGTTTTAATACGAAAAAAGGCCTAAACTTATCCGAACGAAATTTAATGCACAATTTTGCGATGAGGGTTAAGAGAAGACTCTATTTGGCTTGCCATGTCTGAAAGGCTCTAAATAAATAATGAAATTACGTCTGCACCAGACAACTTCATGTAAGTGGCTCTGGCTCTTCAATGGACTGGGCATTTGTATAGGAGTTCATTTAAAATTTTAATCAGCGCTTCTTCGTGCTGCAAATTCCAATTGCGCGGCCAAATTGAATTAATTTGACTAATTTCCTAGATACATTTGCATGAAACAAGCTTCTCCGCGCCTTTCCACTCTCTCGACCAACTTGATTACATTAAAGATGCGCAATTATAAGGGCCCAGTGAATTTGCAGAGACAGTCCAGCGGGATAATGGGAAGGGTTGCCCAGATGAACGGCCAAAATGGCCAAGGGTTGGGCTCTGGCTTCATTAAGTGCCAGAAGGTTCCAATTTGGAACTGCTACCAACAAACTTTGCCCCTTTCTTCACCTGTTTTGGGCTTGCTGAAAACGAGATTAGTTAAAGAGCTGCGCCCCAAGTAAAATATTAATTGCCAGTGGAAAAAAGGAACGAGAAAAATGATGAAATTTTTAATCTGTCACAGAGGAACTAATAAAATATTATTATTATTATTAGATATAAAAAAGTGTTCTATGTTTAAATATAACATACCGAAATTCTAAATATCGGAAAAGTTTGATCATTTCCCTGTTAAACATTATTTATAATATAATATTTGTTACCAAGTCAGGGAAAGGTACATATAATTAATTTCGATGACTGAAATTACACTTTCTAAATAACACATTTTCTCGGTGTGCATTTATTTTTTTTTGTTTTCCTGTTTCGACATTCCGCAATTTTTTCGGGAAAATACTTGTCTGCTTTTGCCTTTGATTTATTTGCGTCAGAATTCCGAAGGCCGCGGCTAATTAAACAACAAAAGACCAGCAGCACCTACGGCGGAGCAGCATCAACAAAATTCGAATCAGCTTTGAATCGTAAACAAACTTTTGCCGGCTCGACTGGTGATGGGTGGTGGGTGGTAGGTGAGGGCAACCATAAACAGCTGCACACCGAACGGGTTCAAGTTGAATGAAGAAGCTATTTCGGAATATGCACTGAAAGAATTAGTATTGATTGGATTTTTTAGCTAGCCTTATCTATGTCGCCAAATCCAATTTAATTGATATCAAATCAATGAAACCAAAGAAATGAAAATAAGTCTAACATAAATTAACATATTACATTTTTGTATTTATTTATTCTTTATTATTTATGATGTGGGTGGTGGGTGGTAGGTGATTACGGCTTAATTTATTTATTCTATGACTTCAATTATTTATTTTATTTTATGGCCTCAGGCAGAATTGATGGTAATACATTTTATAGAATTAATTTAAAAAAAATTGTGATACAAAAATTATGCTTTTAATTAAATTTTTGGTTTATTAGATATAGGTTTTAGATTTGTTTCTATGTTTCATTTAAAATTTGTTTTTCTTAGTGAAGTTGAAAAATTACCGTTAGGTGCTATCTGAAAGTCGCAGGGTCTCGAAATGGAATCGAAAACTCACGTAGCAACCACTATGGGAGTGTCGCTCCATCTCCCTTCCTCTGACCCCTCGTGCGCATGCTGCGTCTCTGTCGCACTCACACTCGCACACACACACAGTCACAGGTAGGGCAACTCCTGATGCGGCGGCCATTGAAATCGGCGGCCATTCCCCCCGCTCCTCGTCCTCCTGGTCTTTCTCATCGAGAACTGAACTGCGCAAAACAAAACAAATCCCTCGCACACTCACGTAACTTGAAATCGACTTGAGCCTGAATCGAGGCAAAAATCTGTTGTTGTCGGAATTAAATTTATATTCTAGGCTGGGACTCAGACCCACCCCCGCCCCCTTGTGACCCTCACAGAGCCAGTAGATAAATGTGAAAAAAAACTGAAATTTGTTTGGGTCTCTCGAATGCATACAATTGTGTTTGCTTGTGACTCACCATAGAACCACATTCGGTATATTATTTTTGTATTTGCGTGCTGGGGCACATTTATTTACATTTTTTAATGCACCCAATAAAGAAAACAAAGCACAAACAAGTTTTCTTCTCATTTTTATTTTGCAGCGCTGGTTTATTTGTTTTTAAGTGGGCACAACTTTGCCACCAGATATATCTCGAATGAAACTTATGTTTGGCTTGACGTATACGACATAATTTTTTAACGATTAAATATTGAATTACTTTAATTTATAGGGACATAAAGCATAAAGAATTTCTTTGTTAAAAGAAATCCATAATTCACTGTGACACAGGTTTCTTAATATATCTCAGCACTAAACTCCGATTTATGTGTTTATATTAAATCCACTTTTTAGTAGTCTTAAATTAAGGAAATTAAACACTAAATGAAACTAGTCATAAAATAATTACTATCGTGCTAATATTTGCAAGGTGTAATTCATTATTTAATTAGTTGTAAGTTCAGTTGGCGAATCATTTTATTAGTTTTTTTATCACATTAATAATTGTTAATTGATTGTTAGCGGTTTACAATATTCCCTTTTATTTGAATAAATCGATTTGCAATAATTTAGATGTTATCTTCCAGTTATGTGGAAGATCATTTTTATATAATAGTAATTTAAATATTATTTAACTTTTAATATTTTATTATTGTTTCGATTCGCTGCTCCCTGAATATTTGTGCCACCAAAGTCGTAATATCTCCCCCACGACCGCTGTCACAGAAGCATGAAATATGAGTGATGACCCTTGGTGCAGGGGCAATTAACTTGCGGTGGTGCATCGTAATGCCTGCCAATCTGCGAGAAGGGGAGATTGAGATTAGAATGGAGCTCACAATGGAGGGCAGGGGAGTCGGGCATTGAACCCCAGTACTCAGGACTCCTCTGAGCGAGATGCTCGCATAGAAATTGCTACATTTCGAGGCAATCCAAGCTAGTCCCTGGTTATATGGCCAGA